AAACATTAGCCACTGTGTGAAATTACCTACATCTCCCTTCCTTTCCATTAACACTGACAGTAAAGCTGTTGACATCAGGGTGGGTTTCAACTCAAGTGCACTGTGCAATCTTGTTCTCCTTGCTCCAACTTCAATTTGATAAATTAAGCTCGCATTGGGTTAAGAATCAAAGTCTCTCAGAAATACCTCTTACAAGCCATTCTCCGAACTTCCATCTCTGCTAATTTTAAAACATCCAGTATTTCCCTTCTGCAGTAGCACAATTGAGCTCAAAGACTAAAACTCACCAGTGTGCTTCCTTTGTGTGTGTTCAATAGGTATCCCCAAAGCAATTACCTGCTGCGCAGCTTGTGGGAGGAGCCATTCTGCAGGAACAGGGGCCACGGGTAACACGATACACGGTTGTTGTGTGTGTAATGTGCTAATACTTTTGACAGCAACCATCCTAAAGGGGAGTAGCGAGGCATTCGAAATTTGTACACAGACTGCCCTATCCATTACGCATCGCCCGTATCATACCCGTAATCTCCCAAGGCAGATATGCTATTACACTTGGCAGGCCAAGGGCTGCTCTGCTTGTATACACACAACTCCCACTGACGGTGCCACTAGACACTTCAATAGCAGCTATCAGCAGCATAAATTTAGCCAAGTACAGTCGCAACCACAGCGGGCACAGCTAAGTAGAGGGACCTGGCTGTGTATTAAAAAGGCTGAAGAAGAACAAAAAAGCTGCCAGGTCTCATCAGAAATCTTATCCCTAGAGCACCGAGAACTGTAGCTGGATACTCACCACACTCTTTATGCTTGTCCCACAGCCCGCAGATCCCCTGACTGGGACTTGGAAGCAGCTAAAACAGTGTGGGCATTAAAAAGAAAGGTCTGCTACAGGGCATAAGACTGTGCCTTGCATCCAACCTTATTCTGTGAAGGGGAAATTCCCAAAAGATGATCTTTGGAACTTGGTTTTATTTATCAGAATTTAAAGGAGCACCGTGGAACAAATCATCTCCTTTAAACATGACAAATTTAGAATGCATAAAATAAGGACACAGGTGCTCAGCTTTTGAAAGTCGCAGGTCTCTCTGGCTTGGATCCTCTGTCTTCATGGGTGTTGAAATGCATAGCATATGTACTGCCTTGTTAATATGATCCTTGCTACAGTGTTTTCTAGCATGTACTCTAAAGGAATTCTCTGGGAAGTCTTTTTAGGCCTCTAGGATATCCCCAAATCATATTGTCTAAGTGATCAGGTGCTAACCGACCTTCAGCCTTTGTTGCGTCCACCCCAAGATTGAGCCCTGAGCCCTTAGAGCCACAGCCCTGTGGCTGTTGTGTTGTAAGCAGCACAGCCTGACTATTCAGGAGGCTTGGCAGAGGAACTCGGGTTTGAATCCCAGCTTTGTAATCACTCATCTTGGGGATGTCGCGTAACGTCTGCAAGCCCCATTTTTCTCATCTGTACTTTGAGCTTGGCAGTGACTTCCTCATAGGGATGCTGCGGGAACATCCGACAGCACTTAGCACCCTGCGCGTGCTCCGGTGAATGCACTCCACTGTTGCCCTGTGTGGCATTTCGTGGGCACTTGGCAGTGCTTTTTTCCCTTTCCTCACCATGCCCTAGTAAGTTAATGCGCATGCAGACCTGTGAATGTTAATAAAATGCTGCCTTTAAGACAGCTAAATTACATACTTTCCCAAGATTAACAAATGAACCAACATTTAAAATACATTTAAAGCTATACTTGTACTTTGATTGATACAGAAGAGAATGATATATTAAAAAAGAAAATAAAAAAATGAAGAGTAAGCAAAGAATCAAGTCAGATATTCAATCAAACCTGATTAATGGCTATTTCTAGTGGAGATTTAGCTGAGTTTTGGATCCCTGCCTCCCTGTGATGTGCAGTGGTAACTGGTGACCATTAAGAAGCTAAATTCAGGGGTAGGGGTGTTGCTCAGTGACAGAGCACTTGCCTAGCATATGTGAAGCCCAGGGTCTATCCCCAGCATCACATACACACACACACACACACACACACACACACACACACAAAGAAAAGAAAGAAAAAAAAGAAAAGCAAAGAAATTAAATGCGTAATTCCTTCAAAGTTCATGTAGATTTTATTTCTCAGCTTGAGAAAGGCTAAGTCAGGTCCAGTTTTTTAATGCTATAAAACAAGTATGTTCGTGGCCATGAGTTTAGATATTGAAAACCATCTTACAACTTTGACTTCTTATCATTTGTTCTTCTTCCCTCCTCTCTCTTTATAAGAGAGAGTTTATAAGATCCCCAGTTTGAAGTCGGATTAATTATGTGTTAAAAAGCTACATCACTCTGAAAACCTTCCATTCATCCCTAAAAGGTAGTCTAGGTTACATTAAGAAATAATGTGTTCTCGAACACAAAAAAGTGCAGTAGTTTAATTTTTAAAGTATGAATAATTCATAACAGACTTGTGTTTCTTTTTACATATTTTCCCATATAAAATATTGCTTTATCATTATTAAGTAAGTACTCTTTGGTACATGTAATTCCTGGAGAGTAGAATTTAAAGATGAAATGTTGTTTTTTTTTTTTTTTTAGAAAAAAGTGAAAACTGAAGATTAATCAATTTGGAAAGAGTGCATGTAGTTATTTTTTTTCTGTGAGTGTCAGTGAGGTGTGCACCTTTTTCAGTTAAAGTAATTTTTTTTTTAGGTTTGAAGTTGCAATTAGAAAACATACATTAGAAAATATTGAAGGGTTTTGTACAAAATTCAGAGACTTCAAAGAGCATGAGAGGATTTGATGATGGCTATGTAGTCATTTCTATTTGTATAATAAACCCAGCAAAAACAGAGCAGGCTTACCTTGAACAGGTAAATCAAACTCCAAATGAGAAATAAAAATGTGCATATATCCAAATATGAATATCCATCACCTTTTTATCTATGTATCTAACTATAAGATTTTGTGTGATAAATTCTTGTTCTATTTTTTAATCAATGATAACACAAAAACAAAATTCAAATTTACTTTCTGCTTTCCAACCTCACATCTCTCATTGTAGGGCTGGTTTCTCAAGCTCTGGCTGATTTTGTGTTCAGGGAATCTTGAACACAATAGGACAATCTTGTCTAATAGGGATTTTTTGTAAAAATCAGGTACTCATCTCCATTCTACCTCGATTTTGCTTATCCCTCCACCCTCCTGTGACTGTCAGATCACAGTATCGCATCAGCTACATCCAATTGATTTAGGGCAGTGAGTATTTCCTCAAAAATCAAAATCCCCACGAATACTTAACAAGACCGACAACAACATCCAGAAAAGTGCCAGGAGTTGAGCTGAAATGAAGGGCGAGTTCTTTAGATCAGGGAGGAGGGGAAAAGGGTCAGACAGAGAAGCGAAAGGAAAAGCAGGGCAGGAGGAGAGGCATGAAGCAGAGGAGGGAACGAAATTAGAACAAGAGGCGATGTTTATTAATAACCTTACTGACCCACAGGCCCCTGACACAAAGTACATTAAGGATTCTTGGGACACTGTAGTCTGTCACTCACATGAGAAGCAAATAAAATTGCGCTGAAAGCTGCAAACTTTCTGAGAACAGATGAAAACTGGGGAAAAATAAAAGGTAGAATAAGGTGAAGGCACAGATTCACAAACTTAAGAAAGCTCGTGGTCTGGCCTCCCTTTTCCTCCCCGACCGCATCCTCTCCATGCAATCCACCTTTTGCTGACACACTTCCAGCAAACTAGGACTTAAACACACAAGAAAATATTGTTTGCTTGGTTGCAAAAAGAATAAATGTCCACTGTA